ATAACAACAACAATAATAATAATAATAATAATAATAATAATAATAATAATAATAATAATAATAATAATGATAAAGAAGTGCTTTGCGCCACCCCCAAAACCAGTCTCTGGATCCGGGCCTGCTCAAGTGCCCACTGACGAAACTCCAGTCTCCGCTGAAAGTCTACTTTTAGTAACTCTTGATGTAATTGGATGCGATAAGGATGTGCTGTGCTGTGCTTTTGTAAAATCTTATGTATCGACGTTGTACAAATATAATTGCAAAGCCTTCCTTACGCTGTTACATATGCATAGCTACTTTTTCGGACTTTAGAAAAGAACCTGATTTTTCTGGAAAACTGTTAAAGATAAGTATGGACAATCTTATGCCAGTCGAAAGGGCATTCAATTTTGCATTTACCCACGACAATTAATATGGGTCATTCCATTTGAAAAAAAAAAATTCAACGCGTTAGATTATTAAATGTAGGTCTCAGTATTTCCGAGTCTGAATAACGTACACGTTTTGCTCACAGATGACCAGATAGAGTAATTCATGCCAAAACGATATGTGAAAACTTTAGGTTGCTAACTCTTACGGTTTAGACACTATCAAGCCTCATTTAGAGAGCTGAAATCGTGATTTTTTTTCAAAAACAAGTGATTATCTCGAAAACGGTAAGTTTTAAACACCATGTAATTTAATAAACTCTACCCAATATTAACCAAAAAATTCAAAAAAGCAATAATACAGGGTGATTCAGAACGTATCCAAAAAAATGTACAGGGGACCCTTACAAATACAATTTTGTAAAGAAAAAATCAAAAAGGGCAATGGGAAAATGATTTAAAAATACACTTCTGCACGGCACTGAAAACTGGTCCACTGTAAAACCTGACCCTGCACAATGCGACCGGTATGGCGGTGTGATAAAAACGGACAAAAACATTCGCAAGAAAAGAAATATGTAAATAGAATTTTATCGCACCTATTTTATATTGGCAAATTCAAATGCTTTTGCCTTTATTAATTATTAATAAAATTAATTTGTGTTTTTAAATAATAAAATCATTTGACATACCCGATGTTACAATTGTTCAAAATTTTATCCACCAATGTGTAAACACATCCGTTGTACTCAGTTTCTACGAACTAACACAAATGTTGTCTTCTTTCACCATAACATAAAATGCTTCACCATAAATTAAAACGATATCCATCAACTCCGAGTACGCAAACCATTTTTGACACTAACTATCCCTTTTTGACACTAACTATTAAGAACCTATTGTAAACACCACAGATAACAGGAAAATATTGCAACAACGATTGCAAAATCCGAACTCAGTATTCGGAGTCGCTGAGGCCACGAGGCGAATGACGCTAGAGACTACAGTTGTCCAGCTATGTAGTGGTTGAATGTACTACAATTTCAATATTTTTTTCTCGGAAGCTATAAGGATTTTACAAAAAAATTTTTTACGATATTGACTCCATTTGCATTTATTCCCAAATTTTTTTGGATAAGTTGTAAATCACCCTGTATACAGGGTGTTTCATTTAAAATAACTAAGTTATGTAGCTCCCACGCGAAATGGAACACCCTGTAAAGCTAAAAATATTTTCTTTACTTGGCCCATATGTTCCAGACAACTTTTATGAAAACCATTCCTTTATAAATTTCACAATTACAGAGTTACAGAAGAACCTCTCTTAGGTGGAACACCCTGTATATTAAATGTTGGCTTTATTTTGTACAAACAACCACAGATAAAGACATACGTGCCAAAAGAATATGCTGAATATACCTTTCATTAGATAAATTTACAGATTACGGTCTTTATATTTGTTTTTAATAAATGTAGATTGTTTTGAAACAGTCCAAATGCTTTTACTAAAAATAAAACTTGTAAATATAACAGGTTCCAAAACCAGAATCACCAATTTGCTTCTGCTAAATCATATAGCATTAACCTTTTTTAACCTCTATTAAAATACATTAAAAAAAAAATTCTAACTTGTGAAAAGTTTTGTATGTACATAGTTCTAAACATTTTGCTATTGCAACTGAAAAAATTCTCATATACCATTTCGACCCCCCCTTAAATTCATTACTGGTATGTACTGGGTGAATTCAAATGAAATAGCATAAACACTACCAGATAATACGGCGTTTGGAAGGTTAGGTTACATTTTGTTATTGACAAGTGTCAAAGTTTGTAAATTATGTGTATTAAATTGTGCTAAATAAAAGAAATTCAGTACAATATAGCAAGGACCAGTGGGAAAATTTAGTTTGGGAAGTAACAGTAAAAAATATTAAACTGGAGATAAAGGGAAATTGTGAAAACGAATTTTTGCGATTTTTGGCGAAATATGACTTCCTATAATAGTCCAGACGATATCTGTTTCAAATAGTCCATATTTGAGTGAATCGTATATCCACGAAGATTTTTGGCTTTTTGGCTTTCAAATATCACTAAAAATGAAAATTTTTCTATGCGCTTAAAAAAATGTGGGCTTAGCTTTTGGCGGCACAATATGTTAAAACAATTCGAAAAATGTCATATTTTTCTTCCTATTTAATTATGTATCTTTTCAAGAGTTGAATTTAAGCGAATATGGAAGAGGAAAAAAATGTTTGTAATTAAATTTTTTACAAAATATGACTAGTTACAAATCGAATGATCATGATTATTATTGTAAAAATCGAAATAATCGCCAAAAATGGGGTTAAAAAACATTACTTTGTAGGGAATTTTTTTTGGGTCTTTAAATTGGGTATAGGACCTTCACATTTGGCTCAAGAAAACTTCATGTTATGTAGAATCATCACACCAAATTTCATCAAAATCGGTTCTATAGATTTTGCATAATAATTTTGCAATCCAGATTTTGAAAAAAAAATTGCAAATTTTCAAAATATTGCACAGCAAAAACCAAGGCCCTCAGATACTACAAAAATTCGACCAATGTTTAAACAAGCGCTAGAGCTCTCCTAATTGACGGATTCGAATTTTTCAAAAAGCGTTTGAAAGCTTGAGAGCCCTTCTATATCTGATTAAATTTTCAAGTATCTAAGGGCTTTGGTTTTTGCTGTGCAAAAGTTTGAAAATTTGCAAATTTTTTTTCAAAATCTGGATTGCAAAATTATTATGCAAAATCTATCGAACCGATTTTGATGAAATTTGGTGTAATGATTCTATATAACATGAAGTTTTCTTGAGCTAAGTGTGAAGGTCCTATACCCAATTTAAAGACCCCAAAAAAATTCCCTAAAAAGAAATGTTTTTTAACCCCAGTGTTGGCGATTTTTTCGATTTTCACAACACTAATCATGATTTATTCGATCTGTAACTGGTCATATTTAGTAAAAAATTTAATTACAAACATTTTTTTCCTCTTCCATTTTCGCCTAAAATCAACTCTTGAAAAGATACATAATAAAATAGGAAGAAAAATATGACATTTTTCGATTTTTTTTAAACATGTTGTGCCGCCAAAAGTTAAGCCCACGTTTTTTTATGCGCATAGAAGAATTTTCATTTCTAGTGATATTTGAAAGCCAAAAAGCCAAAAGTCTCCGTGGATATACGATTCACCCAAACCAAAACAGATACCGCCTAGTGCCTAGTCTACTAGTGTAAAGTGTTCTACAAAAAAGTTGTAGATTATAAAAAAATGAGAAACTTTTAAACAGGATATTTTTCAACATAACCTCAAATTTTAAGTGAAAATTATTAAAAAATATTAGTTGTAGCGTTGTAGCTGTGAAAGTGGTTGTAATAAACAAAGATTTTTTTGCCGAAAACACTACTTAAAATGTACTAATTTGTGAATTAATTGTCATGACAACTGCTCAGATAGAGATAAAGAAATATTTGAAGACGAAAGTGATACGGAAGAGATTATTGTTGAAGAGCCAGCAACGTGTTGTAGTATTGAAAATGAATAGCTCTAAGTTGACAATAAATCTCAAAGATCCTTCAAAACGTGAAAATTGTTTTGATGAAGAAGATAAGTAATCGTAGTGAAAAAGGCTTACAACAATCTACTGCAATTTTATATTTTTTCACATATTTTGTAATACTTTTTAGTTTTGAAAAGCAAAGCGAATCACAATTGGCAAATAAAAAATCAATGCATTGTTATAAATTAATTATTATGTATTAAAATTATTTTATTCAAATATACTTAAAACAGAATACTTATCGTCATACTATTAGTAACGGTACGGTACCTTGCCACTTAAATTTTTCAATTAAATTCATTAAACATCAATAATATTACTTTGTAGTAAATTATTTTATTGAAATTTAATCTATTATTTACATAAATAACGAAAAAATTGAAAATAATATAGAATATTGAAATGTTCGTGATCCGCAAAGTCGATTTTTTGGTTTTCCTCAATTTTAAGGCGGTTTAATGAAAAATAAACCATAAACATACCAAATCATTTTGAAGTAGACATTTCAACAGTTAAAATGAGAGTATTAAAATTGAAAAAAAATCAAGAAAATTTTTCGTGGAACATTGTATTTTTTTTTTTTGGAAAACTGTTAATATCTCGAAAACCATTTATTTTCCAGTTTCCAAAAAAATCATGCTTATTTAGTGTAAAAAAGGTACATTTTCACAAAGTTTCATGTAAATTGCATTATTTTTGCGAGAGAAAAAAAATAAAAACGAAAAAATCGGTTTTCCGCGATTTTCTCTTAAAATTTAAGATTATGTTGAAAAATAAGTTTTCCATTTTTTTTTTAATCTACAACTTTTTTGCAGAACACCACTAGGAAGTCATATTTCGCCAAAAATCGCAAAAAATCATTTTCAACCCCTAAACACCACCCCCATTTCACAATTTCCCTTTATCTCGAGTTTAATTTTAGTTTTTCTATTATTTATAACCCAAACTATATTTTCCGACTAGTCCTTGCCTGTTAATAATTTTTTCTTAGCCTTTAAAATCCGCTTAAGGGTATGCATCATAGCCTTCCCATAATATATTCAAATATTTGGCATTAATTAACAAAAACAAATCGATAAATAAATCGAGAATAATTCACAGAAATTGCAAAAATAATATAGGTATCGGTATCTCAATAGTACGAAATTGGCTGCATTTTTTCGTAGCACGTAGCTAGTTCAATCATCTAACTGCATTTATTAATTGAAATGTGCCTCAAAGTGCTGCAACCAGTAACGCAGATATCTTACAATCACTAAGCTACATTTTAAAGCATGCAACACCAAAAAAAAAGAAATTGTAGTCATAAGCTTGCGCACTGTGTTGAATATTATAATACATTAGTTTAAAAGACATTAAACAAAGACTACTTATTCTTGAGGCGTATCAATTCAACGATTACAGCCGCATAACTTTTTTTATAACCACAACTTTATTCCTTTGCAGATACGAACTATACAGGCAGAAAAAAGTGCCTCCGACCAAGGCTTACGTCACTCTTTTATCTTTGTACGATCTCCTGAACAAAGAATCGAAGCGATTAGGGCTGAACAAGTACCAGGTAAGATTTCAAAGATGAAAATATAGTAACAGTAATTTCTTAATTTTGAATGGAGTGTAAACGATTTAATTTTCTCCGCTACCCGCTTAATATTGCAATTTTTTTCCATCGTATAACTAGAACGCTCTTTCTCCTCTAGGGCTACTCTGACGCGGTCCTTCAGGTGTTAATAGAGTCGTCGAAGGAGTCCTCCGCTTACCAACTGAGAACGGTGCTCAACAAGATCATAGAGAGGAGCGACACGAAGAAGCCGGACATCGTAAAGAAAATCAAACAGCTGGTGACCGATTTGGACGAGCACTCGAGTTACATCAACAACGCGCTGAGGTACATCCCGGCTCTACCCTTCGTGTCGTAGACGACAAACGTCGGTTTTGTGATTTATCGCTAAAATATTTTATACATAGGTACATATGTTTTCTGTAAATAATCATGTTCGTGAGTAATATAGTAGTGACGTAGCCAAATGAAAAGAATAAAGTATTTTTACACAGACAAATGTTCATCGTTATAAAAATATAAACAGTTGACCACATCCTAAAATATCTGATATGTTATATTTCTACTATTCTGTAAAATGAAATTCACTGCGTACTTAAAGTCCTTAATAAGTTAAGTACGTACAATAAGAGATAAACTTACCTACAAAATACTTAAGCGACATAACCTAACTGCTGCAAAGGTTAATTGGTCCCAGTCTGTGATTGGTCCCCCCAAGAACTGCAACAGTTAAATGCACAAAACTAAGAAGAACCACAAACATTACACAAATTAAGCCGCCACAAAGCCGAAATTAGAAATGAACATTATATTATTAATTATTATTATATTAACATATTTCATTTAGGCTACTCTTTCTCCCGCTACCCCCGAAACACTTCTACAGCAGCGCCTCTATTGACGCGTTGTCGCACTATAAGGAAGCGCACTTCACTAGATATTTTAAAATTCACGTTATTTAATTTGTAAATACAGTTTGTTCCGATTTACAGGTGTACAAAATCTACATAATAAGTAAAAAAAAAAAAACAAATGACAGTAGACATTTTTTTGTACAACTCTTCAAAAAGGGTATGTTCAATGAAACAACCTCTCTCAAAATTGCAACTACATACAAGAATTACTTGTGTCAATTTTAGATCATTAACTGTGCAAGAAAAAGTGTAAACTGTAAATTGTCTTTTTTCGATTTTAATAAAAAATAAATGAATAACTAAAACTTAAAATAACAGAAACACATGAATTGTTGTATTTTTAAATTTTATATAAGTACATACAGGGTGTGTGTGTACAAGTGCGAAATATTTTAGGGGGTGATTGCCGAAGTTATTTTACGAAAAAAAGTTCATATAAACGTAGGTCGAAATATTATGCTTCGTTTCTAAGATACCTACAGAGTGTTTAAATTTTAATATTTTATTTATTTTTTTAAATATTTCAGAGTTTTAAAGACAATCAGACCGAGTAATGAGTATGTATCCCATTTTATCATAATAACAGTTATGTTATTTCAGGGTTGTTAACGTTACCTGTTAAAATATAACGTGCAGGTTATTGAGGAATTAAGACCATTTTTAGCAAATACTCGTATTGCAATTTTGTTGTTTTTTGAAGATGCTTTTGTGTCGACATTTTTAATAACAATTATGCAAAATTATTATAAATAAGAGTCAGTATTAGACAAAAACACATATAACTGACAGATGTCATTTAGGTTATGAAATATGAAACAAATGCAAACTCGTAAATAACGGGTAAATACAACATAAAATAGTTTGTAACATGTTATCTTAAATTATAACAGAGTTTCTTAAAGGCAAGAAATTTGGTGTTGCTATAGTTTAACGTAGGTGTTATTTGTCTAATGAAAATGAACGGCTTGTTAAATTTCCATTTACTTGCCGGTTTTATAAACGCACATCGAAGGTAAGTTGTAAAATTTAAGTAACTTAGGTA